TGAGTAGTGACTAGAGATATGAAAAAGAGGATTCCTATTTAGCTATGGGATCAACTAGATGGCCTCCAAAGAATCTTCCAACGCACACACACACACACACACACACACACACACACACACACACACACCCCTTCTGCCTTCTGAGCTGAAATTCCCACTTTTTGTTCTTTTTCATAACAGCTTTCATAATTCCTTCTTGTCATTTGAATCTATCCTTTATGACTTCTACAGTACTTTTATCCACCCACTTTTTAAAAAACAAAACAAGCCAAGAAAATACATAACAATTGATAGGGACAGAATCATGTCAGAGGAGAAGAACTGAGAACCACCAAAAAAAAAAAAAAAAAAAACTTCAAATCACTAAGTTATATGAAAACCCAAATCAACCACTTGAAACCAAATTTGCATCTCTTGTTAATCTCCTACTTCTAATTAACCTTAAATTTATTTTGAGAATTTGTATTTTTGTCCATTTCCATCTGTTTTTTTTTTACTCTGAAAGACCTATTGTGTCTCAAGTACTACTGAAAGTTTGCTACCCCTAGTGTTTTAAGACAACATCAAACTTAAGAGTGTTTGCATTTTTAATTTTTTTTCTTTGTTAAGAAAACCATTTTCCAAAATGTGTTCTGAGAGAAAATAGAGAGATAAGAGCTCTATTTTTTTAAGCCAATGTACCATTAATGATGGTGTCTAATCCAAATTACAGCATTGGAAGCCAGTTGGCAAACAATCTTAATGGCATAGCAACATATATTGGAAAAGGGACAGATTAGCAAGGTAACCTACTGGTAAAAATCATAGTCATGCATTAAGCTAATTGTATTACAGAATTAGTGTTGAGGAGGAATTTATGTCAATGATTCAAAATTAAGAAACTTATTATGGAAGAAACAGTTTTCAGGGAAAGAAGTTTACTCATCATAGATAAAATTATAGGTACAAGTCAAAGAACTGCAGGATAATTGAAATTAATATTGGATTTTTGGACAGAGGGTTATACATATAGATAGGGAGCTGGGTGGTGGGGAACCCAGATTATCAATGATATATTATCAATGATACAGGAAAACTTCAGATTAAGGAAGCAATTTTCTCTGCACCAATGCTTATTGATAACTTCTGTATTTTACAATTTTAGAATATTGCCTTGGGTCACTGAGTTTAAGTGGCTTGCCCATGGTACCATAGCCAGTATTGTGTCAGAAGCAGGAATTGAACCCAGGTCTTTCTGATCAAGCTGGTTTTCTAACCTCTATACCACACTTTCTCTTATAAATACAGTAAGATTAATTTTTTTTGAGGCAATTGGGGTTAAATGACTTGCTCAGGGTCACACAGCTACTAGGTATCTGAAGCAGGATTTGAACTCAGGTCCTCCTGACTCCAGGGCTGCTGCTCCATCCACTTCACCATTTGGCTGCCTCTAAGATTAATTTTTTTAAGCATCTTAGGTTATGATGTTGTTTTTCATCTTCACCCTTAAAGATTATTAAAAATAAGATCACAATTTAGGTGTTAGATTTTCTCAGAAATGGAGGCAGGGAGAGGTCAGCACAGATAATGATTTGAGGTTCATTCCACCTTTGTGGCTCCATGATCCCATTACAGTTCCATAATTTGAGGGCTATAATTAATATTATGGGAGAATCTAGATGGCACCGTGGATAGAGCACTGGATTTAGAATCAGGAAGACTCATTTTCATGAGTTCACATCCAGCCTCAGACACTTAGTGGCTATGTGAGTCTGGGTAAGTCATGACCTTGTTTGACTCAGTTTCTTTATCTGTAAAATGAACTGGAGAAGGAAATGGCAAATCACTCCAGTATCTCTGCCCAGAGAACCCCCCCAAATAGATCAAAAGAGTTGGACATGGCTGAAATGATTGAACAACAGTAACAAAATAATATTAACATAGTGTTCATTTAGGAAATGCTTGGGTAAAAACTATGTAGTTGACACAGACCCTGCTTTTGCAAAGGATACTTTTGGTGGGGGGAGGGGAGGTATTCTCTATAAATAATAGAAATATATATAAATCAACACAGAGGAAAACAATACTGTTCATCAGATGGGATGACTTCACTTACTTGGACACCTATCTTAACCTACTCAACTACACATAGGGTGTGTTCATGGGTGAGTAGGAGTGAATCAGAAGAGCCAATATAACTTTCTGATGGTACATAGGCTAGCCATACTCAAATAGATCTTTAGCAAAAAAATCACTGAGAACTAGATTTGGGGGGGGGGGCTAATTGGGAGGAGGGAAAATAGTGACCTATTAAGGGAAAAGGGATTTGAGAGGATGTTAAGGTGTTTAATATTAGAGTTAATATTTAATAGTTGTGCATTGGCTTAGTGAAAAGAGCATTAGATTTGGAAGAGAAGGAACTGGGCTCAAATCTTGGCTAGCCAGATACTAGCAATGTGATCTTAGATAACTCACTTATCCCTTTGAGATCTAAATCTGAATGCATGATTCTTCTCTGAATATCAGTAGATTCATTCAGACTTCCTTCAGTCCACCACTCAAAATGAATATTTCCCAAAGCTGAGCTGAATCTGCCCTGATAATATCACAGAGCCACCAAAATACCCCATATTATTCCCTCAAAAACATTATTCCAACCTCCCTTCTTTAAGAAAGAGCTGCCAAAGAATCTAATCCTTTGGTCTGCAATTTAAAAGATCATTTCATTCAGGGAGTATCTTTTTGACATGAGATGGTTATTGGATTCTCTATGTCTCATTTTCTGATATTAATAACCGACTTCAAAGAGATGCTATGAGAACTGAAGTTTGGAAAGTGCTTTGAAGATATAAACAGCTATAATCACCCTTCAATGTACATATTATTAAACTGAAATGGATGGGGAAATCAGCCTCTAAAATAACAGAAAGATAATCAACATATGCAGAAATATTGTTAGAAAACAAAAGGCAATCTAATCCTGCTTTATGGGCAAGACTCAGCAAATTTTCATAATTTTATAGTGATTTTCAGTATTTTATCTAAATATATTAGGTCAAATAATAATCTCCCTATGCAAATTACCATCAAAATTTCAAAACCTACAAAGATAATTTAACACATATATGTATACACACACATACACACATATGTATGTATTCACATTCACACACAGTGGGGACCTCTCATTGAAAGAGAAGCTGTGCAGCATAGGGGATAGAAACTATAATCTAGGATTTCTGTTATTGTTGGTCCTTCATTCTCAAAGATGACCAGTGATGTCAGGAGGGTGAGGTCTTGGCTTACAAGTGAACTGGATTTAAGGGAGACAGAGCTGTGCAAAGTCATCAGCCCTACTCTCTCCTCCAGGGTCATCAGAGTCAGGAAGATGAGGATTCAGGACTGTCTCTGACACATACTGGCTGTGTGACTCTGGACAAGTCAATGAACCCCTCAGGGCTCTAGCCAACTCTCAGATCTATGATAATCCCTGTAAAGAGCTTTGCAAACCTTAAAGCTCTATATAAACATTAATTGTTGTCTCTATTCTTCATCTTACATCATTCTTCTCATCTTTTTCATGGAGTAAGGATGGGGACTGCACCTGTGACTTTATTGCTGTAAGAAACTTCCAGGTGAGGAGGTTTCCTCCACAATGCAGCTTGGGACCTTCTTTGTCTTTTTTTGTTATTTCAGTAGTGTCCAATTCTTTGTGAGCCCATTTGGGGTTTTCTTGGCAAGGACACTGGAGCGGTTTGTCATTGCCTTCTCCAGCTTATTTTACAGATAAGAAAAATGAGACAAACAGGGCAAAGTGACTAGGGTCACACAGCTAGTAAGTTTCTGAGGCTAGATTTGAACTCAGGAAGACGAGTATTCCTGACTCCAGGACTGGCACTCTGCGCACTTTGCCATTTATCTGCCCCTCTCAATTGTATGGGAGGAATAATAGTAGTACCTACCTCCCAGGATGGTTGTGAGCATCAAATGAGATATGTTTAAAGTGCTTAGCACAGTGGCTAGCCTGTAGTATTTAACAAATGCTTATTTCTTTCTTTCCTTCTTTCCCTCTTCCCTCTGTCCCTCCCTCCCTCTTTCCTTCCTTCCTCCTCTTCTCCCTTCCTCCCTTCCTTCCTGTTACTGATTGGCATTGGTGGGAGCTCAGATTCCCAAGTACAGTTCAGACATTGTTGCACTTAGTGCTTTAATAGAATGCTCCTATGGTTTAAGAATGATAATGATAAGCAGGGGATAGTCCAGAGAAGGACAATCAGGATGATGACAGACTTTGAGGCTTTGTCACATAAGGATCAATTGAAGGAATGGGTGAGTTTATCCAGGAGAAGACAAGACTCAGTGGGGTGGGGAATTTAGTAGCTATCATCATGTATCTGAAGGGCTATCACATGGAAACCTGCCTTGACTTGTTCTAGGACCAGCAGCAATGAATGGAAGTTATATGGAAGCAAACTACCTCCTAATTAGGGCTGTCCCAAAGTGGAATGGACTGCCTCAAGAAATGGTGGATCTCCTTTCCTTGGAAGTCTTTAAGCAGGGGCGGGGTGATTACTTGGTTATGTCAAAATGGGAAATCCTTTTGTATCTGGTTTGGACAAGGTGGTCTCTGAAGTCCCTTACAATTATCAAAATCTATGATTCTATGATGAAATCATAGGTCTGATTCCCTCTCCCTCTCCAACCCCCAAAGTCAGTCACAGTCCAAACAGCAGAGCATTTCTTTTTGTGAAAGAGAAAGCCTTCCCCTATTCCCACTAACTTTCAACTCTTGTTGAAATGATATTATATCAAGGGGTGATATTAGATGAAGCAATCCCATAAAACATTTTGATATCCATGCTATACTCTTCCATTTTAAAGCTATCTCTTGAATAGTCAATCCTAAGAACATTCAGACTATTTTAGCTCCACCCATAGAGGTACTCAAGCTCCTCAGAACATAACCCTTTCACTGCTTCAGATCTTGGCTTTGATTGTGACTTGTCCCAGTATCCTTACTTCACCTTGTCAAAGAGTACTGCTTCCCCAGAGCTGCCCCAGGGTCCTGCTGACGGATGGCTCTAATTGCAGTTGGTGCTGTAAACAAGGCCACCACTCCATGCTCCGAGAGCACACGGAAGTAGGCCCCAGCATCTGGTGTTCCCACAGGCTTCCCCTGCAATGAGATTAATTAAAAATGTCACTGGATAAAAATAGCTCATATTTTCTTGACAGTTCAAGACTTGTGCACTTAACAGAGAAAAAGCAATTAAAAATGGTTTTCAATAAATCTGTATTCATTTTGTTTGTTTAAAAGATTCCATGCTTCCAGTATTAGTTCATATAATACAAATACACACTCCCTACCTACCTACCCCACGGGGCTGTTGTGATGAAAGCATTTTGTAAAGCTTAAAAATACTGCAGAAATATAAGGAATTTAAAGGTGGGCTTGAAAGCTGCCCTACCCCATTTTAGCTCTGATGCCTTAGCTGAGGGAGAACATCTTTTAATCAATCAAAAAATCTTAGACTGTTTTTCAAAGTCTGTCAAAGTTATTGGATGAAGTTTGGATGTTATATGGATGACACCATATACGAAGTGAGATTTTGTTACACACTCTTGGTCCTGTGTATAAGGACCGAATTAGCTTGAATGAAGAGGTTTTCCAGAGTTTGGAGCATATGGCTTTCTAGCATACCACTAAGAAATAAAAGGAGGACTCATATTTTTTTTCAATGAAGGGAAATATTCAGGAGGGTCATTGGCTCCACAAACACCTCAGAGCAGAGAACTCTGCTGCAGGAAGTTCTAAGAAAAAGTCAACTCTTACCCCAGCTTCCCATCCCGGTGCCTCTCTATCCACAGACAATATGTTACAAATGTATGTAAAAATCATTAAAAATGTATATGAGAGGCAACATGCAATAGTAGATTGAAAAAGCTGACTTGAAGAAACAAGATGACAGGGTTAAAGTCCAGCCTTTGACAGAGCCTTGCTGTGTGATCAGAGAGAAGTCAGCGAACCTCTCAATGCTCAGGCAACTCTCTAGCAGGGTAAGTTGAAGGACCATTATAGATCAGTAGCAATAAAAGCAATTTCCATGTCAGGAGTCTCTTATACCAGTAAACTCACAGACCGCCCCTTTCTCCCCACAAAAAAAGTTTGTATGTGTGTAAGAGATGTACACACACACACACACACATACACACACACACTCACACATGCTTCAATTAAGTTCCAAACTCTCTAAACAAAAGGCATCTAAAAAGACCTTTCTAAATCTATCATGGCAAAAATAAAAGCTTTTTTTTTTTAACTAAACAGAAAGTTATCACATTTAAAGAACTTCCCCCACCCACCCACCCGCAATCACAATTAACTACATCGATATTCTTTTTTTCTGTTTGCCAAGAACCTATGCCAATCACTTTCCAGGGGGTATTGAGTAAGAACTTTGATTGCTGAGAATTTCCATGTAAACACTTTTGCCATGGCAACAGTGAGAAATGATTTTAATCTCCTGGTACAAATCATGTAATAGAAAGGTAAAAAATTGGAAGTCCATGTTTCCTATGCACACGTTGATCAGCATAACGTTTTCAGATAAAAGTTTATACGCAAAGGAAATCAAGTGTTATATTTTTAATCATGGACAAGAAACCACAAGAGAAGCAACATAATGGAGAGAGAAGGCAGAGGACCATATTGTGAGTCATTGAGATCTGGTTTCAATTCCTGCCTCTGACTCACGCTCTTTATTTGTGAACACAAACAAATCACTGAACTCCGGAAGGACCCCATATAATTCTCCAGGACTTTAAGTTACAAAAGGATTGCTAGCCACATCAGTGAGGGAAGTTTCCACATCAGGAGTTCCTTGCCCAGAGTGATGCGATTTCAAGTTCAGATCTCTCTCCTTCACAACCAACAAAATGATCAAACTAAGGAACAATTACTCTATAAAGCTAGAAAAAATACTAAAATTCATTTGGGAGGGGAAAAAAGGTCAAGAATAATAAAGAAATAAATGAAAAAAAAGTAAAGGAAAGGGGCCTGGTAATACTAAATATCAAACTATACTACAAAGCTGTAATCATCAAAACTGGGTAGGAAGTAGAATAGTTGATCAATGGAAGAGATTAGGCTCACAATATTTAGAAGAAAATAAACAAAGTAGCCTAATGTTTGACAAATTCAAAGATCCCAGTTATTGGGACAAGTAACCGTTGGGAAAACTGGAAAGCAATATGAAAGACATTAGGCATAAAACATTGTCTCATATTGTATACTAAGAGAAGCTCAAAATGGATACGTAATTTAGACATACAGGGTGATATCATAAGCAAATTAGTAGAGCAGAAGTTACCTGTCAAATCTATGTATAGGGGAAAAATTCATGACCAAGCAATACATAGAGATGGTCATGGGAAGTAAAATGGATAATTTTGATTACATAAAATTTTAGTTTTTCCGTGAACAAAACCAATGCAGCTAAAATTAGAATAAAGGCAGAAAACTAGGGAAAAATTATTTGTACTAACTTTCTCAGATAAAGATCTCATTCCTAAAATATATAAGAAACTTAGGCAAAATTTTAAGAATAAGAATCATTCCTCAATTGACAAATGGTCAAAAGATATAAACAAAAAAATTTCAGAAGAAATCAAAGCGACCAATAGTCATATTAAAAATGTCCTAAATCACCAATAATTAAATAAATGCAAATTAAAACAAATATGAAGTACCACTTCACAGTCCATCAGATTGGTTATGATGACAAAAAAGGAAAATGACAAGCGTTAGCGGGGAAGTGGAAAAACAGATACCCTGCTGGGAACTAGTCCAACTGTTACAGAAAGCAACTTGAAACTACACCTGAAATGCTATTAAATTGTCTATATTCATCGACTCTGCAATGACACTACTATGAGTATGCCCAAAGAGTTCAAAAAATGAGGAAAATGTATAAAAATATTCATAACTACTCATTTTGTGGTGGCAAAGAACTGGAAACTGAGGGGATGCCCATAAATTGGGGAATGGCTGAACAAATTATGGTATATGAATATGACAGAATACTATTGTTCTGTAAGAAATGATAAAGGGGATGGCTTCAGAAGACAAGACTTGTATAAATTTATGCAGGGTTACATGAGCGGAACCAGGAGGACAATTTATATAGTAACAACAATATTACAAAGATAATCAGTTTTTAAAAGACTCAAAAAGTCTGATCAACTCAATGACCCATCACCACTACAAAGGTCTCAGGATGAAAGACATTATCTACTTCCAAATAGAGAACTTTTTAAAAATTGTATCGTTATGGAAAAACTTGTTTTATTCTATAAATAAAATAAAATTCAGAGTACAACCTAAAGTATATTTTCTTTTCTTTTTTTTTTTCTTTTGAACAGGCATAAATTTGTCTTGTATGACAATACATACTAGTAATTGGTTTTGTTTTTCTTGCCTTCTCAATGGATGGGGGGGAAGGGAAAGAGAGAACAGAACTGAAAAAAAAAATAGAATAAAAAAACTCTATGCCAAAATAAAAAAAAAAAAACATAACTCCTCCCAAAATAGGAAGTCACAAAAGTAATATAGTAATAAAGTGCTGAAATATTCAACTAATAATACTATTCAGATTCCATGGACAAATTAAATGTGAAGCCTAAAGATTCTGGTATGATGCAAGTTTTGGAAAGGCATGTATCCTATACTTAAACTGATATTTATATTTAGTTTATTAGAATGTTTTTTTTTTGTTTTGGTCCAAACATTATTTCATTAGTATAGAAAACTGCCAGGCAAGGAAACTCCCTTCACCAATCATAATAGGCAACTATTCTGCAGTATTTATTCCTAAAATGTTTCCTGTGGCACTGAAATGTTAAGTGATTGTTCCCATTAATATATTAATTTGAACATCAACTTATATTCATATGTCAGTGGAGATAGACATTCAAAAATAATTAGGTCTGAAGATATTCTAACAACAAAATTTATTTTGGTCCCAAGGATCCTTGCCAAAGCAAGGTTCCCTATCACGCCTAGCCATTCTTATTCCTGCTGCTCCTTCCCAAAATTAAGCTAAACCAATTGAAAGTATCTTTTCAGCAATAAAGTGTTTTCTCCTGAAATGCCAATTACATGGAAACCACATGGAAATAAAAGTGAAATGAGAAGTGGGATACATGTTTGAATCATAGATCTTGATCTGGGAGGGATCTTTAGAGGTAATTTTACAGCTGATCAGAATACTGATTAAGTCCCTTGTTCAAAACAGTAAATAGAACAGTCAGAATTCAAACTTGGATGCTCTAAACCTAAAATGAGCACTCTCTATCCTCCATCATGCACACTCATTCCCCATCCTAAGCAGGACAATGTGCCCCTCCCAACTCTACTTTTTGGTAAAAAAATAAAGTTAAGTTGATTTATTCCCAGTACCCTTGAACAACTGCCCTCATCATTTAAGTGCTCAGTTTCCTCACCTATAAGACGAGAAGGTGAGAGGAGAGTATTACGAAGGTCTCTTCTAGATATAAATGCTATGACCCAGTTATATGTACTTTTGTTTCTTTCTTTCCTTGGTTCTTCTTCTCTCCTTCCTAATTTCTTTCCTTTGTTCTTTTCTTTTCTACTTTCTAGTTTCCTTCCTTTGCTCTCTTCTCTCCTTCCTCCCTTACCAACTTCCGTCTACTAATAAATCAATCAATTAAGGCATAAACTAGGTACAAACAAGTCTTTTTAAAAAGTATAATATTCTGTTTCTCCCTAATTACATGTTAAAGCAATTTTAAACATTTTTTTTAAGTTTTGAGTTCTAGATTTTATCCCTCTCTCTCTCCCCTCCCTCTCCTTTGAAACAGTGAGCAATCTGACATATGTGAACAATTGTTTAATGAATTTCAGAGCATTGAATCACTTCAAACTACTGGATGAAATCAACTGTTGCTACAGAGGGTAGAAAGAATTAGACATACTTCTGGACCTTAACATGTCAGAAAAGAAATTTAAGCAGAAAGGCCGTTAAGCTTCCAGAATATCTAGAAGAGACAGACCCCTTTGCACCTATATTAGAGGGCAGAGGGTGGGGGAGAAGTGACCCCACCCACCTACCCAATGACCAGAGGATAACTTTGTGAACCTCAGAAGGCCAATTTTTC